TGAAATACATTTCTATTACGCTATTTTCAGGATGAGCCAATGGACACAGACCAGAACAACACATTTTTAAGCACCATCCAGTCAGAGATTGCAAAGTACCAGCTTCTTATTGAAGAGGAAAACCAGAAGCTGAAAAGATACAAGGTAAGTCACTGTTAAATACAGTGAAATTTGCCAAACAAGAGATCATTTAAACTTTTCAAGTTTTAGTGCATCTGTATTCATTTAACGAAAAAGGTTGTTGTTTCTGTTCTGAAAAAAGTTAGCTATGCCCAGTTTAAAAAAAAAAAAATCTGGTTTCTTTTAGGTTGAAAATATTCGACGAAAGCACAACTACCTTCCCTTCATTATGGAGCTACTGAAGACGTTGGCAGAGTACCAGCAGCTAATACCTTTGGTGGAAAGGGTAACAAATCTGTTCATGTTGCAGTTTTCCAAACTCCTATTGATCCTGAGTGCCACAGGTCTAAGAACAAAAGTACCATGACATTTTAAAATGTGTGACATTAAACATGCTGAATAATTTAATGAGCCATCTGGGGGCGGCTGGTGTTTTTTTTGAGCTCTTGATTTGGGATAAATAACTTTTTAAGAGATGTACAGATGGAAATTGCAAAAAAAAAAAAACCCACAATGCTTCAGTTTTTTCACTAGAGGGCATCATTGGTGAATGTTATAGTTTCACCTGTAAAATAGGTCCATTTCTAAGAAAGGGTTCAAAAGTTTTCTTTACTGTAGATACTGTACCAATCTAAACAGCAGTGTGTGTGTGGGGTTTTCTCAACAGGCAAAAGAGAAACAAAGCGCTAAAAAGGCTCAGGAGGCCAAGTGAACAACATCAACATTCACCAGAAAGGTTCTGATCAGACGCAAGCAAGGAATCACCGTGAAAACCAGTCACTCTTTCATCAGTGAGCAGTGAACAGACTCTGTACTTCACCAGTTAACTTCATCACAGCGAGCATGGAGGGCGTCCTGCAGCACACTATGGCTTCCAGTGAATTATTCAGAAAGAGCTGTGCGGCATTTGCAGCACAGAGACTGCCTGTCACAATGTCCCCATGTGTTTCTGTTGGCGCTAATGCATGTCTGAAGGAAAAATGTGGTCTTATTTTGTTCTGTCTTATTTTCATAATAAAATGTGTAGATGTTTGAGGTTTTTGTTGAAGGGATTTTGATCCCAGCGTCCTTTTTTTAACCACTTCCTGGAAGTCAAATTTTTGTATTTACAGTGAGCTATGTTTAAAGAACTGTAACAGCTATGTGCATTCCATCCTAAAATGCCTCAGGACTTTTCAGTAAGTTTACATGTTTGATGTAAAGTATTTCATTTAGACATCTCTCAAACAGGATGTAATTTGCATACCTACGTCATCAACAAAATGCTGATTCATTTTGTTTTTTCATCATTGAGTGATTTATATCAGGTCATCGAGTAACATGAAATTACATTAAAGTATTGCAAAAGAGTGACAAAAATATGCAGAAATAGGCAGTTAAGTTGCCCACAAACCGACAGTTAATTGTCAGCTGTATTACAAACGTGTTGTGGAACAACAGCAACTTGGCCACATAAACTGACGGAGCGGTTACTGAAGCAAATAGTGTGAAGAAGTCAATCACGCCTTTAAACTTCAAGTTCTAAAACAGTGTGCAGGGAGTGGGTTTCAGGAGAAAGGCACTTGTCTAACTGTATTGTGACAGTGTAAAGTTTGGTGGAGTGGGGGCTTATGGTTGGGGGTTGTTTTTCAGGAGCTGTACTAGACCCCCCTGGTCCAGTGAAAGGAACTCTGGATCTTTCAGCATACCAACACATTTTGTACAATTCCATGCTCCCCACTTTGTGGGAACAGTTTGGATCAGGCCCGTTCCTCTTGCAACATCACTGTGCACTACAGCACAAAGCAAGCTCCATAAAGACATGGATGGTAGGGTCTGGTGTGGATAAAATTGATTGTCCTCCAAAGAGACCTAATAAAACACCTTTGGGATGAATTAGAGTGGAGACTGAGAGCCAGGCCTTTTCGTCCAACATCAATGTGTGACCTCACAATGCTCCGGAAATATAGAATTCCCATAAACACAGTCCTAAAACTTGTGAACAGCTTCCCAAGCTGCCAACGTTGGACCAACATATTGAACCCCTATGGATTACGGCTGGGATGTCAATAAAGCTCAAGGCGGGTGAGCAAATGCGTTTGGCAATAGAGAATACATCGCTACATGTAAGATATGCAAGATATAGGCCAAATATCACCAAAATATTTGATGACAAATTATTCAGCATTTTGATTAGAATGGAAGCCTTTTCTCCTGCCATACAGCAAACAGCTGGAATTGTACTCAAAGCTGTGCAGACAAAAAAAATGTAAAATAATTACTTATGTATCTTTAAGCATTACCTGTTTTACAGTTGTTAGTTTTCAATATACAATTCTGTAAATAATTTGGAATATTCATGGTTAAAATTTTTTTTAGTCTGCTTTAAGATTTTATATATAACTATTGTACATCGAAAGATTTCACACCTTAAGACATAAATCAAAGAAAAGAAAGGAGATTCATTATCTAAAACAAATCAGCTCAAAGAATAAGCTAATAGATTTAGAAAGTCTGTTGTGTTGAACCTGTTTTTATAAAGCTTAGATTGAATCAGCATGAATGGAAAGCTACAGAGAAGCTGCTCATTTGCCTTAATTGCTGCTCCTGAACAGAGCGTTCGTCTCAAAGCCATTGCATTCTGACGCATCTGTAGCCTGCTGACCAAAGTGAGACGCAGCCTGTTTCTAATTTTAGATTCAGAGTTTACATATGCACCTTGAGTACTTGTTGGACCTGATCCCAGGAGTCTGTTGCCTGGTCTGTGCATGACAACGAATGAAAACCTCATTGATCTTATTACCAGCTGAGGAAAAAAAAAGACATCTCTTTTATATTACTCTGTCTCTCAGAATGTGGATGAATAACAAAAGTATAAAGCAGCAGGATTTCTTTTGCTTACCCTCACCTAACTGCCGTATTGAGTCTATTTTTAAACACATTGTCTTATATTTTCTTGTAATATATATATTTTTTTGAGTTACAAGCTAAACTACAGTAAGCAGAAAGGAATCAAAGAAGCTATAAAAAAGGATAAAATCCTAAATAGCAAGACTGCTGCGTAACTGAATGGGAATTTGGTATGCCTACTTGGAAGGTCAGGAAAAGTTTATTTGTGAAACTCATTATCAAACACGGTGCTGAGAGCTGATAGGCCCAATGCTAAAGACAGTTCTGTTTAGACTGTGTTACAGCTTTGGCAATATTAGCATCAATCACTTTATGAATGCAGCAAAACATGACTGGAGGTGCAAGCTTTATTTCTTTTATTTTGAGAAATCAAAAACTTTATTATCTGTTTTTAAAAGCTTCGTGTTAAATTTGCAGTAGTTATAAAATAATAAGAAACCCCTCTAATTTAGCTGGCCAGATGAAGCTTTAAGCAGCAGTAAGCACGTGAAGTAAAATGTGCATATTTACTCAGGTGACTGTCCTGGACACTCATTGAAAGCTGAAAATAATAGCAGGAGCAGAGCGCTTGATTTGCTGAAACAAGAGAAAACGTCTTTGCAGTGCATGGCACTATGGCACAGGTCTGAGAGGAGAGAAACAGCAGCAGTGTGTGTCCTGGATTCTGACAGATGACAGACAGGAGGAAGGCTTATCTCCTCTTCTGACAGCTTTAAATATGTTGTTATGATACTTGAACAAAGATGCTGTAGTGTAGTACTCCAATAGATTAGGAATGTTGTCGTGTGACTTAACACAGAGCAAACTGTTTCTAATACCTTTGTACACGCTGTACCTTTGTATGTGCTTTTGTCACAACTAAAAATGCATAGCGTTTAATTTGATCTTTCTAATTTAGTCTGAATGACGCCATTAAGAGCTTGCTGGAAAATATTTGGCACTTAGAGAATTTACCACCAACTAAAAAACAGACCTACTTTATAATTATTGAAATGACTTTTAGCATTATTTTCACATGTAGTGCTATATATAGAAATATTTATATCCCTTGAGGTTTTCAAAGTGTGTGACATTATAATTTTTTTTTTTTTTTTTTTTTTATTAGGATTTTATACAGAGCATCCAAAAACTGTAAAGCAAAGAGTTAAATGTTTTTTGGGTTATTTTTTTCAACAAAGGAAAATCTTAAATGTTTTACATAGGCTACATTTATTTTCAGCCACTTTTACTTGTAAAATACAATAAACGATTCCTAAATCGGATACACATCCTTCACCTGCAACTGCTTTTATGAGAACATCTGTGGTTTTGTGGCGGATCATAACTGCTTAAAAAACAGCATGATGTCCAAGCAATAGTGTGGATGCAAAGTCGTAGATACTTTTAAAACTGACTTAGAATATAAAGCGATATCCAAAGCTTTTAGCATCCTACTGAGCTCTGTTGAGTACTGAACTGAAAATGAACAGAATATGGCACAAGTTTCATCCAACAAAGATATCACTATCCACCTTAAAATCACAGGGGTACAGCAAATAAGTAATTAAGACAAATTTGGCCTTCATGACGCTCATTTTCCGAGGCTGCCACATAATAAATATCCATGTGTGGTTGATTTTAAATCTAATATCATTTGTTGGTACTTATTGAGGATAAATTCACATCAGCTGTCTTCATTTTAAAAGATGGATTTGGAAACTTTACTGATTACATGGCATCCATGGTACCTGTCAAATTATGACAAATACTTTCTTAAAATGTTGGTGCTTTAAATTATTTCTTTTTTTTTTTTTTTTTTTATCTAAATCTATCCCTACATTGCTAAAGCCATAGTCAAATCAACAATGTGTATATACCTAAAAACAATGAAGAACTAGTTTACTAGAAGGATATCAACATGTGGATGAAAGCTCTCACAGGCAATCTGAGATTCTAATATTTAGTTTTCTGCTTAATCTGTAAAGAAACACATTACAAGTTTTTAGCATCGTGGAAATAGTTTATTCCAAAGGCAAGCCAGCTGCCAAAAGCTTAAAATATACATGAAACATCTGGTGCAGGATCACAGTATTTACATTCTCACAGTCATTTGCAGTGGAAACAGTAGACATTATCACATATATTAAACTTGCACATCTTATGTAAACAAGTGCAAATACAGAAGAATAAAAAAAGTTTGGCTACATGGGAAGTTTAAGACCCCTATAAAAAATTCTAACAGTGGATTTTGACCAAAAATACATTCTTACAGTACTGTCGGTTTCAGGTGAGCAGAGATCAGTATTTCAGTGTTTTTACTTCTTAGCTCTAAACCAGTAGTCTTTACAACATTGTATTGTCTATCATTGCATAAAACCTGAAATAGCATGAATTTGTAATGGTACATCAAGAAAACTGTGTGCAATGACCCAGTGAAGGAAATGTAACCTTAATCCCATCTCGTCAAAATGCTCTGCCCGCTTCCTGCAGCATATTCATATTAACCTCACAGTTTCCTTGTTGAAATCAGACAGCTGAACTGTCTAAAAATGACTTTACTTTGCATTTTCCATTCGCTGCTGCTATTCATGCTCAAAATTTGCATTCAGGTCTGTTATCCTGATGCAGCGCCAGGAATGAACATTATCTGGACCCAGTGTGCAGTCACAGCGGTAAACAAATGACTTCAGGAGTGGGTGTGTAGTTTGACTAGTACTTAACGAGCTTGCTCTTTCCACTGGCAACTGCGCACAGTTCCTTGTAGAGGTCTGAGAGGATGAACCTCGGGTAGGAGTTATTCTCCATCAAGCTGTAGATTTTTTTCTGAGCAATCTGGAAGCTTGTGGCAGTGGGTGCATTTAAACACTGCTCAATGCTATTTTTTGTGTTGAAATCCAGGTTTATCTGTTGCAAAGAGAAAAAAGGAAATTATAAATGTTTGCTTTTCTTCAGCAAAAAAAACTGCAAAGAAACATACTGTGAGAGTAAAAAAATGTTTTTTTAAAGATCAAAGTTGTATTACCTCCTTCGGAGCTTCACTTTTAATGAACTCCTCATAGATGTTGTTGGCCTTGGACACTAGATCTTTTTGTGACGTAAGGGACTTGAAGTCCTCACATGCCGTCCAAAACTCAATGTTCTCCTCACAGAACTCGGACTTCAAAAAGATGTGGAAGGCAGCTTTCCCATCTGGGGGAGGAAGAAACAGAGGATTAGGATTGTGAGATGGGCCCAAGTGTCTTTCTCTTTCTCAGGCTCTCTGCCCATTAATGGAAAGTCAAGTAAGTCCAAAGCCATTACGAGCTGTGGTTTATTGAGGCCAATAAACTGCCTTTATTCAGCAACCAGCTACAGTGTGACCTTTGAGACTCTTTTATGTATGACTGCTGCAACAGAGGGATGAATGATACTTACATTTATGGGCGAGTAGTTTGTCAAGTGACTGTGCCCATTGGTTCACGTCATCAACGTTCGGCCTGAGGGTAGAGAACAGATCTCGCGTAAGAGATAATTATAGCTTAGACAACTGCCACTTTTATAGTGCCACTGTAAATCCTTGCAATTGATTACCTCAACTATAGTACTACAATTGACTGGCCGGTTATTAAATAGGTTTGATTGCATAGCCTTACTTGTTGCAGTTTTTCCAATATGCTGCACACTGTGATGTATTTCATTTTAAGACTGATTTATTTTTCATATTTAAACAATAGTTCATGTCAAAATGAAGTCCAACATAACATTGCATTACTTTCAGACTTAATCTTGAATACATATCTATATACACATATTCTCGACCCACCTGTATGATCTATTTTTCTTTGGATGGAGAATTGACTTGGAAGAGTTTGTCCACAAACGTCTAAGTCTGGTTCTCCAGTTTTTCCTCCTATGTAAAGTACAGAGCAAATTAATCAGAATTAATTTGTGTAAAATGTCATTAAGAAAAGGAAAAAGCCATTAAATGTTACAGTCTCTTACTTTATCTCCTTTTTCCCTGCAGACAGGTCACTTGGTTTCATGCAGTCATTAACAGCCATGTTTTGGGATGACATACTGCTGAGGTTCTCTCTCATCGTGTAGTCTGGTCTCTTTCTCCCTCTTGGCTTGTGAGGCTGCTTTATACTTTTTTGCTTTGGCCAGGAACCCATGCATGACGGACGGGAGGCGGCGCCATGGAAGGAAGGCTCTAACCTGATTGGCTCTGAATGAACCCTGGTGTGCCTCTGCCTGTGATTTGGTGGAAGAGAGGCTGTCACTGCATAATGATCAACTCCCTAAATACACTTCTGGTTTCCAAAATTAAGAGTGGGGTCAACATGTGAAATACATAGTAAACAGATTTTTTAAATGACATGTAGATCTAATGAACTTCTGTTTACTGTAACTTTAACTCCTGTTGTCTGTTTTTTGCAACTTTTTGAATGATTTTTTCCAAAATGTTTTAAACAAGAAAAGCAAACTGCAAGAAGGTTTTTGTCAAAAAAGAGATTTTATTTTAGTTTCCCAACTTTACTTCTGCCTCTGCTGTTCTTCTTTCACTTTTTGTTCTTAACAACGTGTTCATTCTAACGTCAGAAATACTTCCTGCAGTCGTAGTGTTTAATGAATTACACACCCAGGGTGTGGAGCCTTGAAGACGTTATTGTCGTGATGGTATGCAGAGATATGACACGTTGGATCCGATGATGATGATGCAATATGCCATCACCTTTCAAGGTAGGGTGGATAAAACAAACATCAATTTTAGGCAGGAGAATACTTCCCTTATCTTCTGTTGGCCTTTAAAACAACTCTGACTATTGATTAAAAGTGTTAAAGGCTTTGAATTTGCTTCCTAAAATGTGTGCAATGTAAGACTGACTCCTCTGTTAAGGAATTCACCATTTTTAGGAAAAGGTTGCATCGTTATATTTAGTGGATAAGAGTTCAGCCTACTCCGGAAGCTCTCAAGAGAATTTAATCTGAACTGAGATGCTGCTCTGGGAACCGATCCTCCTCGGCAAACACAAGTTCAAACATTACATAGTATCAATGTCAACAGCCCCAATATTGACCCAATGGGATTAGACGTGGACTAGGCTTGTTTAGAAAAGAACCCACATTCAAAACCTTTGCTTATCCTAACAGAATGGATCTTGACAGAAATCTGAAGATGCAAGCACTGAAATTATATATAACGTTATTTCTGATATGTAATGATATGTAACGTGGCGGCCTAGTGGTTAGGGCTTTGCACATGGGGTCCAGAAGTTCAAACCCCACTCCCACAGACTGCCACTCTGGCTCTCTGAGCAAAGACCCTTAACCCTACACTGTTCCTCGGGCGCCGCACAGTGGCAGCCCACTGCTCTCCAAGAGAATAGGTTAAATGCAGAGAGTAAATTTCTTTGTGCTGTACTTATGACAGTGCAATTACAATAAAAAAGCTGGAAATTTTGGTCAAGCTCTGTCAATGCCCCGCTTTCACCAACCATCTAATAAAAACACAGTAAATTGTTTCAGCTAAACATGAATTAGTGAAAGTTCCATGTTTTTATTTGGTCCAATTCTGATTGGCTCTTTCTAGTGAATTTAAGGTAGAATCTAATTTGTGCTGACTTTTAAAACACAGCATTCCTATGCTGCTAAGCTGCCCTGTGTTGCTTATGAGATAACAGCAAATTTTTAAGTCTGCTGTGCTCATGTTGACTTATGTGCATTTTATCTGTTTTTCTTTTTTTATTTCTATTGTAAGGCTAATGTTAATGTAATTTCTCAAAAAAAAAAGCTGTTTTTTTTTTTCTTTGACTATACAAGCATATACCACGCAGAAAGAAAGAACCCAAGCCATGATTCATACCCTGGACCTTGTTCTCTCAACTACCGAAAAAAAAAAAAAGGTAGAATAACACATAGCTTACTGTAAAAAAATGGTTTAAGTTCCTACATCAACATTACCATAAACAACATCAAAATCCCATGCAGTTTTTGACAAGTTTATGTATTACTATTAAATAGCTTCAACAGTCAAACAAAGTATTTTGGGGGTATTTTACAATCATTCCCAACTTGCACGTATAGACCTGCATGAGTTTATAGGAACACAAGTTCATCAAGTTTACTTAAGCAAAGTATTTGATAAATCACAAACCTGATATTTTTTCAACTTAACCTGCAGGTCCTGTATTTACACACAATTAGGGAATAACCCGCATCATCTTCACAAAACACAAACTCTGCCATGTTTTCATTCCCTTTTTTGTCTGTTTAACTTGTCATTAAAATCATTTGTAATAAAAAAAAAAATAATAATAAAAATAGGAAAATCTCTCTACAATTGGTGCTAATTGTATTTTTGATGACCTTACACATTCAAGGTTTTAGTGCAATGTTTCAGTATATGTCAGCAGTAAGTCAGAACCAGGAGGGCCTTAACAGGCACAGTAAAAACCTTTTCCAGTAACATTATGGGCTTTCAACAATGACATCATATTCCCACAAAACTGAAAGGTCAAATCTACTGAGGAACACAATATCCATATATAAGAATTATCACATTTTGTTCTGCTATCAGCGCCATAGTGTATCTGCGTCACCTGTTCTACACTGTTGTGGTTATCCTTGGCCCCCCTCCCGTTTTCGCACGGGTTTAGAACTATGCTGGGTGAAAACATGGTGTTCGCCTCTTGTGTTTATTATGATGTGCAGACTGTGTGTAAGCAGCTGTCTGTTTATAAGTGGATGGAGAGCAGAGCCAAGTTTCCATTAAAGCACCCATTTTATCCACATAGTCTCAAACGGCAGGTAGTTCCCATCATTGCTTTGCACCGTTTGTCCTCTCTGTGTTTTTGGGAAATTGCAGAAAAAGAAAGGACTTCTGTACTCCGTATCTCCTTTTGGATTTGTTTCAGCTTGGACTGGTAACAAAGGGCATCAAAATAAGGGGCCCTATGTTAAGCTTTATGCTTCAGGAGTTTTAAGGCAAGCACCAAAGTAATCATAACACACCTTTTTTAATTTTTTGAATGGAAATCTTTCACTTTGATTGTCCATTCTAGCTGTTAATCCTGATTAGAGCTTAACCAATAAGTATGAGATGAAATCAGATGAGCTTCACTTCCCCCTCTGCTCAGTCTTTCAGCATTACACTTTAAAACCACAATCCAGATTAAATGAAGATTGATAAAATAAGGTTATTAAAAAAGCTAAATTAAGTTTAAAATTGAAATTAATGCTTTTTTGTCAGTTTTAGCATTTGACTTTATAACAGAATACCAACATATTTGAAAAGATGTTAGAAATATTACTTTTATTTTCATTTATTTTATTTTCATTGGCTGAGAAGAGAACCTATAAGGATGTTTTTGCCATTAATTGAATTTTATCTGGATATCTACCTGAGCATTTGCACTGATTGACACAAACTGTGTTTATTTAAAACCGTGGCCTCTTTGCCATGATGATGTCTCTCACAAAAGGGGTTACAGGATGACTGCAATAGTTGTTTTGGGGTTTAAAAAAGAGAAATGTCTTTCCACACAAGAGTTAAGCTAATTGTTTTCTGAAGTTCTCAAATGACTCTATAGATCCTACTATGGTATTCAATCAGACAACAGCCAGGAGCACCTTAAAACCAAATATTTAACATTTACACAGGAAAAAAAACATAAAAAAGTAATGTTTTTATAATTTAAACATGTTCTGTTATGCTAGATTTCCACGATTTAAAGTAAAAACTGATATGAAAAGTTCAAAGTGTATCATTGTTTTATAGTTCTAGTTATTTGTTTCTTGTATTAAATGTACATTAGACATCCAAATATGTAAAACAGAAAATGCAGAGGGTTTAGTAATACAGCTCCATAGTTTAGGTGTGGTCTTTCCAGCATAATTCAGTAGAATTTAATGGGTGTTCAGATTATCAGCCAGTGGAAATGTTTTCTTGTCTTAAGTGAGTAACATTTTTCTCACATGAGCTGGGATGTTGAGAAATAAAAGTAGAGTGACAAGTTATGGCTTAATTGTGACATTTTTCTTGCATATTGTAATGCTGAACAGGTCAGAACCAGCTAAGAGGTGTTTATGTTTTGGTTAACTTTAACTCCTAAGTTGGCAGCACGTCTCCATGGTGCTGAACATCCTTTGGCACCATAACTAGAAAAACAGGTTAAAGCAATATCCAGGAGTAATTGAAAAAAGGAGGACTGGCATCCTTTGATGACACCGCTCAAGAAAAAATAAAACAAAATCCAAGCAAGGGAAATGTAAAATATGAAAAGAAAATTGAAATATTCTTTAAATTATGCATTTTATAAACATGTGCTACAGTCAGATACATTTGCAATCTTTTTAAAAGTTTAATAAAATATATCTATTTTTTTTTTTTTTTTTTTTATTTATGTTCAAAGTATCTGATAAGATCAACACCAAAAGAGAGAAAAAAATAGATTGCACTCTAACTGAAACTGGTTTATGGACCTTAAGGACACTGAGCCGGAAACGTTGTTGTCATCACCACAAAATAACTCATGGCATGCAACTTGTTGTTACTGGTGTCTTTAGAGCTGCAGAAATGCATCAGTTTAAGGAAAGCAGAAAACATTGAGTTTATTTACCAGCATAACTCAGAGAAAATTTTAGAAAACAGTTTTTGTGCAGTCTTTGTTAATTTGGAATTGTTCCTGTAAACGAATCTAAGATATACACAGTTTCAATTTGTTCATACATAACTATATGGATGCTATGCGTTTCAATTAAAAAGCTATTTGTCATTTCAGTCATAGGCGCTGCCCTTACATTTTGTACACAGTAAATATACAACTATGGATGTATTTTTATTTATTATTAGTATTAAATTGGCAAGAGCACAAATACATTTGCAAATACTATATATATATTCATATACATGGCTGTCTATTTGTCTGTCTCCTCGAAAACCCAAACTGAGTGCATTTTCTGAGAGACAAAAAAGCTTCTATGACAGATTTGATCCTACTCTTCACTTGGTTTCATTTCAACAGGCTCACCTTTACAAAGGACAAAAATAGGTTGTGAGTGTTAAAAAGGTCAACCATGTGACACTCAGCGTGCAGGGACCGATTGAAGTCTTTCGGTTTTG